CCAATGTGAGCACCTACCCGTTAGATACAAGTTGCTAAATAATTCTTATATAAACTAAAAATATATATCAGGTTTATGATTAAGTTGCAAATTGTAGGTGAAGACCTTAATGACAAGGCATCAGTTTCTACAGACAATTAATATTCAGGAACTTAACAGAATTAAAGCCCACATATTTTTAAAGGTACTGTCAATAAATAGTTGGAATGTGTTCTCACAACAGACATTTCTACTAAACTCGATAAATCATAATCTGTAAAGAATTGCTTCTTTTTTCTAAGACAATGTTCTTTGGGAGCAAGTAGGAAGACAAATGTTTACTAAGAAACCCATTTACTAACAATATTAACAAGAAGAAGAGAAGTAACATTTGTCCAGTATCTCCAATGTGCAATTCAGAAGTGAGGCTAGGAGTAGAAACAAAGATGGTGGCATAGGTAAACGCCTAACTGCAGCCTCGCACAACAATTTCAAAAATACAACTAAAATATAAAATGGACATTATCTAGAACTACAAGAAAGTTGACTGACTGGAAATTCTACAACTAGAAGGAAAGAGAAAACCAGAGGGAAAATCGGAGGAGCTGTAAAAGCCTAAGGTACAGAGACACAGTGAGCATGTGCGGAGAGGAGGAGCTGGAGAGGAGGGGGCAGCTGAGTATGTGATACCATAATCAATAAAATTAAAAAAATTAGAAAAGTGAGGGCAGATGATTCACACATTTTCCCTGTTAATCTTAGCAAGAACATACACATGAGGAGCATTGTTGGCCCCATTTTACAGATTGAAAAGCTCAAGTCAAGAAAGTTAAATTTTTTAAAATCATGCCCAAAAATTTACCTGGCTCACAGTGGGACCCATAGTCTAATCTGAAGATACTAACTTTAAACTTTGACTTTTAGATTACTTATGCGGAGTATTAACTAAAACAGCAAGCTATTTTGCAGAATAACTCCAAGAGGAACCATAATTCAAGAGTTTCCAATATAGACCTGAACTCTGTGGATACTGAGAAGGAAAAAAAAATGAATGAAGATAACTTGGTTGAATGGATGCCTCCAGAAATGATTGAATGCATTTTCCATCATCTGGAAATTCAGAGTTTGTGCAGGGCTTCAATGACATGTGTGAGCTGGTTTGACACAATAAGAAACAATGACTTCTTATGGAAACCTCATTGCTTGGCTATACAAGATGTCTGCAAAAGAGAAGTAGATGATGACCAAAAAAATGGTTATTCCTGGAAGGTAAGTGTAATTTTTGTGGTCTGCAGTGTTATTAGCAATATGGTGGTAGATTTGAACCAAACTCTACTTTCTGCTTGGATGAGGTAAGATTTCATATAGACAATGACGTACAGACATACAGAGTGTGTTGACTTTTGTACTTACAGTTGAATTATGATTTTTTTCCTGCAAACCACACTGTCTCCCATCCATACTTTAACATTTTTCCAATCTTAAATTTAGGCATTTTCCTCTGTTAACCAGAAGGAAAGTGACTACTTCTTTTAACTTCACATTATCCAAAACACAGCAAACTCTATGGTACACACACACACACACACACACACACACATACACGTGTGTGTGTATGTGTGTATGTATATGTATATGTACATATACATGTATATCTATACACACACACATTTAGTAGTATATGCATATATCAACGTAAAAACTTAATCTTCTTTTCAACCCTGTCAATCAGCTTCTCTGGTTTCAAACAAACTCATCTTACCAGGCAGCAACCTACTATCTTCTGTGATGATGCTGGTTTACCTCTTTCAGGACATACTACTGAGGAATTACAAGAAGAGTCAAGTAATACATGGATGGCTAAGTGGCAGATTCAGCAACATAGATTTGCCTACTCTCCTATCAGAAACAACCATGTGTCCAATGGATGCAGAAACCTGGGGGAAAATTCTAGAAGCAGAACTGAATGGATCAGAGATTAAAAATGACAGCAGAGAAAGTGGATGCTACACAATAAGAAACAATGACTCCTTACAGAAACCTCATTGTGAGGCTATACAGGCTGTCCGAAAAAGAGAAATAGATGATGATCGAAAAAGCGGTTATTCCTGGAGGGTAAGTGTAATTGTTGTGGTCTGCAGTGTTATTAGCAATATGGTGGCAGATTTGAACCAAACTCTGCTTTCTGCTTGGGTGAGGTAGGATTTCATATAGACAATGACATACAAAGTGTGTTGACTTTTGAACTTAAAGTTGAATTATGATTCTTTTCCTGCAAACCACACTGTCTCCCACCCATCCTTTAACATTTTTCCAATCTTAAATTTAGGCATTTTCCTCTGTTAACCAGAAGGAAAGTGACTACTTCTTTTAACTTTGTATTATCCAAAATCCCCAGCAAACTCTATGGTACACACACACACACACGTGTGTGTCTATGTATGTATGTATGTATGTATATGTACATATACATGTATATCTATACACACACACATTTAGTAGTATATGCATATATCAACGTAAAAACTTAATCTTCTTTTCAATCCTGTCAATCAGCTTCTCTGGTTTCAAACAAACTCATCTTACCAGGCAGCAACCTACTATCTTCTGTGATGATGCTGGTTTACCTCTTTCAGGACATACTACTGAGGAATTACAAGAAGAGTCAAGTAAAACACGGATGGCTAAGTGGCAGATTCAGCAACATAGATTTGCCTACTCTCCTATCAAAAACAACCATGTGCCAAATGGATGCAGAAACCTGGGGGGAAATTCTAGAAGCAGAACTGAATGGATCAGAGATTAAAAATGACAGCAGAGAAAGTGGATGCTACATAATAAGAAACAATCACTCCTTACGGAAACCTCATTGTGAGGCTATACAGGCTGTCTGCAAAAGAGAAGTAGATGATGGCCAAAAAAACGGTTATTCCTGGAAGGTAAGTGTAATATTTGTGGTCTGCAGTGTTATTAGCAATATGGTGGCAGATTTGAACCAAACTCTTTCTGCTTGGATGAGGTAGGATTTCATATAGACAATGACGTACAGACATACAGAGTGTGTTGACTTTTGTACTTACAGTTGAATTATGATTCTTTTCCTGCAAACCACACTGTCTCCCATTCATCCTTTAACATTTTTCCAGTCTTAAATTTAGGCATTTTCCTCTGTTAACCAGAAGGAAAGTGACTACTTCTTTTAACTTCACATTATCCAAAACACAGCAAACTCTATGGTTCACACTGTGTGTGTGTGTGTGTATATATATATATATATATATATATATATACATATATATATATATATATATAAACGTATACATGTACATCTACACACACACACACACACACACACACACACACATTTAGTAGTACATGTATATATCAATGTAAAAACTTAATCTTCTTCTTTTCAATCCTGTCAATCAGCTTCTCTGGTTTCAAACAAACTCAACTCACCAGGCAACAATGTACTACCTTCTGTGATGATGCTTGTTTACCTCTTTCAGGACATACATCTGAGGAATGACAAGAAGAGTCAAGTAAAACACGGATGGCTAAGTGGCAGATTCAGCAACATAGATTTGCCTACTCTCCTATCAGAAACAACCATGTGTCCAATGGATGCAGAAACCTGGGGGAAAATTCTAGAAGCAGAACTGAATGGATCAAAGATTAAAAATGACAGCAGAGAAAGTGGATACTAAACTCCCAAGACCAAACTGGAATGATCCTATCGAATAAAAGAGTTATATGCAAATTGAACGTGCATCTGTTACATCCACAAGCAACACCTACTAGCCAATCAGGACAGAGTATGCAGATTAACAGAGAAAGCAGGAGGCTTGGGTTTCGCCAACAATGGAGGAAGCCAAGCTTTCAGTCTTCCCTGGCCAGCATTGGCCTCCACTTAAGGCTACAAAGTTTCAATTATAGAAGATAGATAAATCCCAGATCCCTGGGCCTCCACTTGGGTCTCCAGGGAATGTGTCCAGCCTGCAAGCCACCACAGGCCCCTTACCCAGGCCACCCCATGCCCCAAGGGAACCCCCACCCTGGTCTGGGACATCCTTCAGGGCAAACCAGCCAGCTCCCACCTGTGCACCAGGCCTCTATCCTATCTGATCCTCCTATCTAGTAAAAAAATAATATGCAAATTGACCATCACTCCAACACACAAGATGACTGACCCCATGTGAACACAAGATGGCCATCACAAGATGGCCAGCAGGGAAGGGCAGTTGGAGGGACCAGTCCTTCAAGGGAGGGCAGTTTGGGGCAATCAAGCCTGCAGGGGAGGGAAGTTAGGGGTGACCAGGCTGGCAGAGGAGGGAAGTTGGGGGCAACTGTGCCTACAGGGGAGAGAAATTAGGGGTTGATCAGGCTGGCAGACAGAAGCAGTTAGAGGCAGGTGAGCAGCTGGGAGCCAGCAATGCTGGATTTTGAGAGTGATGTCCGACTGCCCGTTTAGGCCCTATCCCAGTAGGATCTGGCCTAAATGGGCAGTCAAACATCCTTGGAGAGGTCCCAGATTGGAGAGTCTGCAGGCTGGGCTGAGAGACACCACCCATCCCATGTATGAATTTCGTGTACCGAGCCTCTAGTAACTAAAATAAAAGAACAACTTGAATAATCAACTGAAGACTATTATACTTGGATAACCAAGGACATAAAGTGGAGACTGCATAGATACTGGTAGGAAGGGCTCCCACAGACACCAGCTGAAGAGATACTTCATCTGTGGGGTTTCCACTGAGAACTCTGGGGTCTAATCACCAAGCTGGGCCCCCCAGCAGAGAGCGCCAGAAATGAGAAAGGGGTCCACATAACATCTGGTTGTGACAAGCAGCAGGGTTGCTGTCTGCACCCTCTTAAAGGGCCAACTCACAAAATTTCATGTGTAGCCACTTACCTTGTTCTCCAGCAGAGGAGGGCAGAGTGAACTGGAGCTGTTTGAGCAAAATCCAGGGTTGGGGCCTGACATCTTTCTCTCGCAAACAATCAAAATCCAGGAATCTTGCCTGGAGGGGTGAGTGGGGAAGAGAGTAGATCCACCATTTTGGAAAACACCTTGCCTCAACGTGTGGAGTTTCTGAGGCCCATTAAGAGACCGAGAATAAAAACACTATGGAGTTTCCTCAAAAAAAATTAAATATGGCCGAAACAGGTTTGGCTCAGTGGATAGAACGTCGGCCTGGGGACTGAAAGGTCCCGGATTCGATTCCAGTCAAGGACATGTACCTTGGCTGCGGGCACATCCCGCAACGGTAGGGGGTGTACAGGATGCAGCTGGTCAATGATTCTCTCTCATCAATGTTTCTAGCTCTCTAGCTCTCTATCCCTTTTTCTCTGTAAAAATTCAATAAAATATATATTTTTTTAATTAAATATGGAATTTCCATTTGACCCAATGATCCTACATCTATGAATATATCCTAAGAACACCAAAATACCAATCAGAAAGAATGTTTGTATGGAGAACAGCTACAGGGTTTGTTCAGGTTCAAGCCTCGGACTAATGAGAGGGCACAGACCTCTCATGGCCACATGCAAGTCCCAGCTTGGAGGGCAGAGCCCTCCCAGCACAATTATAGCCAACAGCTATAGTTGTAAGCTTGAACCTATGATCCCACATGCCTGAGTGATGTGGGCTTGATAGAGTTCAGATGCATGTAATTGAGTAGAACTGAAACCCATGAGAATGTTGTAAACATCTTGACCAAGCCCCTACTTTGCCTCACAGCATCTGGCTATAAAATAAAGACATGGCTTGTAGTCCATACCACTGTCTCTCCATCAGAGAAGCAGCATCCCACCCAGACCCAGCTTTCATTCTCTTGTTTGTCTTTTCTCAATCCTTTACTGTTCCCTCTCAGGGTCACAGATCCTGGCTGAGCTGGTGTGCACATAAGGTGCCCCAGGGCTGAGTATGCCATGGCCATGCTGACTCACCACATGTATGCACCCCTTGGATCTTGGGTTTGATTCCAGTCAAGGGCACATGCTTGGGTTTCAGGCTTTATCCTCAGTGGCGGGGTGGAGGTGCAGGTGGCAGCTGATCAATGATTCTCATCATTGATATTTTCTTTCTCTCTCCCTTCCCTCTGAAATCAATAGAAATATATTTAAAATTGTGTTTATAGCAGCACAATTTACAATAGCTAAGATCTGGAACCAGCCCAAGTGCCCATCAGTAGATAAGTGGGTAAAAAAGCTATGGTACATTTATACCATGGAATACTATGCTGCAATAAAAAAGGAATCTCTTACCCTTTGAGACAGCATGGAGGGACCTAGGGAGTATCATGCTATGTGAAATAAGTCAGAGAAAGCCAAGTATCACATGATCTCACTCATATGTGGAGTCTAAGTAACAAAATAAACTAATGAACAGAGTGGATCCAGTGACATGGAAGTGTGGAACGGAGTGCAGAATCTCAGAGGGAAGGTGAGGGAGGGTGGATGAGTGGGAGGTAATCACTCAAAGACCTTGTGTGCATATATGCATAACCCATGGACACAGACAAAAGGCCTGGGGTGGGGTGCAGGAGTGAGTTGGAGGAGGTCAATTGGGATTAATATAAAATGAATTTATATTTCAATGACTTTAAATTTTTCATTTCAGTGAAATCAGATTAAATGGTCAAACACTGAAACCATTTTTAAAATGTGCTAAACTTGTGGCTTAGTTTCAAATTAATCTGACCAATGGGCTAAAACTTGTGAGATTAAGGTTCCCATTAGTTGCCTGAAGACCTTGAATTGCTCTCAGGGACTTAAAAGTTATGGAAAATTTTTAGAACACTTAACTACCATCAGAACTGCCATACTATTTTTCCTAGCAAATAACAGTCTTATAACCCATCTAATGTTTTATTCATGGACTAGAGGCCCCATGCACAAAGATTCGTGCAAGAATGGGCCTTCCTTCCCCTTCACTCCAGCCAGAGCCACCTTTCTGCCTTCGCCCTAGCCAGAGCCGCCTTCCATCAATTTGCATATTCCCACCTTATTGGCTATGGGCGCCATCATCTTTGTTGTGGAGTTGGGTTCAATTTCTATATTCTGTCTTTATTATATAGGATAACCAAAACAAAGGACAACTCCTTTTTGTTTTCTCCACATTTAAAAGAAAAATACTGTTTCAAAGAATCCTAAATACCAGACTTTGTTAAAGTTTATAGCTTTCCAGTAACATTTAATTTCACTTTTTTTTTCTTAAACATAGATGATAAAGTATGCACTACATGTTGTTCATGCTGAATCTGTGGCCAGCACCATCGTAGAAGGTGTTTACAAAACATTTTAGTTAGAATGGGGTTTTCTTCCTACACTGTGCTCTATAGCATGAAAAATAAGAATCCAGAAAACCAGTGTTTAACAAATAGGCAAATATGAGAAAGATCCCTCATTCTCTACAAATTCTTTTCATTGGATCAACCAGGTAATGATTGCTTGTCTCTTATAATCTTAGAGTTTGAAGGGGCCTTAAAGATCAGGCAGTCCAATCTCTAAGACTGTTTGGCAACCTCCTCTTTAGGAATGTTCTTCCTATCACCCATCATTCATTCTTTTCTTGGCAACCTCTTTTGTAAGACTTACCATCTTGATCTGGAAACCATCCCTAACTTCTATGACCATTCTGGATTAAGTGGCCCTCTGAAGGTTCCCCATAGATCTTTGTGCATGCCATTCTCAAAGCTGCAACAGTACATTAAATTTGTCTGTTTATCTGTCTGTCTCCCCCTTTAAACTGTGAGCTTCTTTATGGCAGAGACCATTTATTTATTTTTGTGTTTCCAAAGCCTGGAACATAGTAGGTATTCCATAAAAAATATTAAAATATTTTAGTATTATTTAATTCTACCCAGAATCCCATGGTCAGTTAGGGGTGACCTGGCCTGCAGGGGAGGACAGTTAGGGGCAACTAGGCTTGCAGGGAAGGATAGTTAGGGGCAACCAGTCCTGCAGGGGAGGGCAGTTGGCGGAAACCAGGCTGGTAAAGGAGGGCAGTTAGGGGTGACCAGGCCAGCAGGGAAGGACAATTAGGGGTGACCAGACCAGAAGGAGAGGGAAGTTAGGGGCAATTGGTTTGGCAGGGGAGCAGTTATGCATCAATTAGGCTGGCAGGGGAATGGTTGCAGGGGTCCTCAAACTTTTTAAAGTGGGGGCCAGATCACGGTCCCTCAGAGAGCTGGAGGGCCGGACTATATGAACTACAGTACTAATTTCTACTGTAACACCTCGGCTGCGCTCACTGCCCAAAAAACCTGGCGGGCCAGATCAGACTCCTCTGCGGGCCGCATGTGGCCCGCGGGCCGTAGTTTGAAGACCCCTGGGTTAGAGGGTGGTCAGGCTAGCAGGCAGAAGCAATTAGGGGCAGTCAGGCAGGCAGGCAGATGACCAGATGGGAACCAGCAGTTCTGGATTGTGAGAAGGATCTCAGATTGGGGAGAGTGCAGGCTGGGCTGAGGGAGATACACACTTGTGCACAAATTTTGTGCACTGAGCCTCTAGGATATAATAAAAATAATTTACTAAGTTAATAGACAAGTATTGAAATACATTGTAAAACTCACAAGATATATGGTATGCTTCATATTAATGCTAACCTATATAATAAAAGCCCAGCAACCATTATGGCAGAACGACCAGAATGACTGGTCGACCAATGACGATGATGCACACTGACCACTAGAGGCCTGATGCTCAATGCAGGAGGAGGGAGAGGGGGCGTAGTGAGGCCTGAAGGTACATGCTATGGCCCAGAGAT